GGTTCTAGAATTTATTTCGAAAAAACTCTAATGATCTATCACCCAACTTAAAGGCACCTCAATGAATATTTTACTGTTATAATTGATTTTTTTCTAAAGTTTTTGTCATTTCTTTGATGTCACAATAAGATTGTTCTTTCAATTGCATTAATTCAACACGTTAGCTGTCAAGATATTCTTAAGGACCTCGATTCAAAATAGTTAGGCCGCAACAACGACTTGAGTGATAGGGAGATAGCAAGTTAATGGTTATTGGTAGGTGGCCCATCAGACGGCAGCAATAAGTAGCAAGTGGTGTTTAGGAGCTTTAGACGGTTGAAGGGAGCTAACTGTGGGTCGCAGGAGGAGAGAAAGGGAAAGATATGATTTAGTAGATGTTTGTTGAAAAAAAAAAGACTAATTATAGGCAAATAACAAATAAATTCAAATTCTCTCTGCTCCTTCTTACCCTAGCTACATACTATGAACAAATAACTTAAAAACAATCATATCAAAAGAAAGATTAAAAAACAATGTAACAAACCTAATCTAAGATTGATCAGCTTTCTAAGGATGTTAAAATTATCAGCATGAACAGAGAATTACCAACACTACCAATCTCCACTAAGTGATTGAATGGACCAAAATATATTGAATCAATCTTGTTACCCCTTCACAATCTAATACCCAAGCAACGAGGAAAGGTTCTCTCTCTTTTTTTAAGTGGACAAATAGATTGTTTATTCCTTGCATGATTTGACCACTAGGTCAACTTTAGTCCATATATAATAGATCCCCATCAAGTTTACTATCTCAGATTCTAACATATTTTAAGCCTAGTTTTAACAAATCTCGTTCTTTTAAAAAAATATATATTTCAAGCTTTTTACACTTTTAATTTGTATGTGCTTAATATCATTCCAGAGCAATATATCAAACCTAATCTAAGATTGATCATCCTTCTAAGGATATTTTATCAGCAAGAACTTTAAATTACCAATGCTACCAATCCCCACTAGGAGATTGAATGGTCCAAAATATATTGAATCAATCTTGTTACCCCTTTACAATCTAATGCCCAAGCAACGAGGAAAGGTTTTCTCTCTTCTTTTTTAAGTGGACAATTAGATTGATTATTCCCACCATGATTTGATCACTAGGTCAACTTTACTCGATATATAATAGATCCCCATCAAGTCCACTACTTCAAATTCTAAAATAATTTAAGCCTAATTTTAGTATATATTTCATTCATTTAAAAAGAAATATATTTCAATCTTCTACACTTAAAATTTGTACTTGCTTGACATCATCATATAAACATTAGCCTAATCCAGTAATTAGGTTTGGCAAAGTTATATATATATATATAT